TTTTAAGAAAGGAACATAATTCCCGTTACTACGATGGCGTCAAAATTCAGACCTGGAAGAACTCTAGAAATTAATATAATGAGCCAAAGTTGGGTTTGGCTCTCGATGGGCTGAGTCTACCAAAACTTTTCTCCAACCAGCTGTTTTCCCCACACACCCCATTTCTTTTTCCTATCTCATCCTGCCTGCCAGCTATGGGTCAGAAGGTCTCCCTATTAAAAATTCAGCATTGACTCTACAGTATTTGTAGATAGCTTATTGCAGGGGTCTCCAAACTTGGCCACTTTAGGACTTGTGGACGTCAACTCCCAGAATTCCCCAGCCAGCATGGATTCAGTAATTCTCCATGGAGTAGAGTGATTCTCCATGGATTCATCAGTTACATGTCAGAGAAAACTTACACCAAGTGGGGTAGATAGGACCTTATTTTTTTATTATTAGTTTATTAATAGAATAGCCAATGGAAGAGACTGGATAGCCATTTGTCTGGAATGGTAGAGGGTCTCTTGCTTCAGCAGGGGGTTAGAACATAGAACATAAGAGTTGGAAGGGACCTTGGAGGTCTTCTAGTCCAACCCCCTGCACAAGCAGGAGACCCTATACCATTTCAGATAAATGGTTGTCCAGTCTCTTTTTGAAAGCCTCCAGTGATGGAGCACCCACAACTTCTGAAGGCAAGCTGTTCCATTGGTTGATTGCTCTCACCATTGGGTTGAACTAGAAGACCACCAAGGTCCCTTCCAATTCTATAATTCTGAGTAGTTTTTTCTTCTTCTTCTTCATTTTTGCTCTCTGCTAGAGTGGAAATGTTTATTCTGAAGATGTCTTGAAATGGGAAATGCAAAATGAACAGCTCCAGGATGTCTCTTAAAATCCAGACAGATTCAAACAGGAATGATTCAAAATGCCTTCTATGTGTCTAGTTCAGCTTTCTCTTCTGGTTATTTTCTATTTTTTTTCTTGATTTTCTTGTGGGATGAGGCTGGTGAAAATGGAAGAAACACTGAACTAACATGGGAAGGTTCGAACCTGCAGAATATTACAACAGAGGAAAAATGGCCTTTTTTTCTTTTTTTAAAAATGGCCTTCTATACAAACAGTCTACCTGCTAACTTTCATTCTTATTTATTTTTATTTATTTTATTTCTACAGCTGCCCATCTCAAACAAGAGACACTGGGTGGTGAGCATTCAACAATTACTTGTTAGGCCGGTGCAAATCATCTCTTTTCTGATTTCTTCAATCACTTCACAAAATACACACCCACGTGCACAGAGAGGTTTTCGAAATATGCAAAACAAGTGGTTTGAATGGATTTAAAGTATCTGATTCCATCTGACGCTCCTAAGCCCTTGAATCTGGAAAACCCACATCTCTATTGGCGTGTGTGAATTTACACTAGAGATCAACCTGGACTGAGGACAGATCTGAGCAAATTGACCTCTCTGCCTCCAAAGTCAAATTATGAAATTTTAAGATGATGCAGACCTTGCTCTTAGGGACCGAAAATAGTTCTATTCCCATTGCATGAACAGAAAAACAAAAGTTGGCTTGGAAAATATTATTTTTTCAAGATAAAGATGTTGTACAATAGCTTAGCGATGACAAACTCAATTGGGCTGGATATCTTTATTTCTCCATGAACAGATTGTCACTATCTATTTGTTTGAATTGCCTTCTAACGCTGCGTTCCTGCAGACCAGTGGTAGCGAGTAATTTATTATTTTTTTAAAAAAGGAAAAGGAACCAAAACTCTGTATAACTTCCAAAAGCTGCTCGTGTTTATTAGCTGTCAAGTTAACCCTCTTGGAATTTGAATTCAGAGTAAGTGTTGGCTTTGAAACTCAAGACTGGATGCAAAAGTTACACAAGGTCAGATCTCACCCTCTGCCGTGTCTGTCTTTGTCGAGATCTCCACGCTCATCGGAAAGTAAATATGCTCAAATAGGTCCTCAAATTGGAACCAGATCGTCTGTCGCAGTTGGTGAGTGGCGCCCAATTTTACGAACTTTTGTTTGCTGTGGTCATTAAGGGAATCGTGCAGTTGTTAAGTGAATCTGGCTCCCCCCATTGAGTTTGCTTGTGGGAAGCTGGCTAAGAAGTTGCAAATAGCAATCATGTGATGCCAGGAGACTGAAACTGTCATAAGTACATGCCAGTTGCAAGCACCCAAATTCTGATCATGTGACCCTGGGGATGCTTTGACAGTCATAAACGTGAGGGACCAGTATATAAGTCACTTTTTTCATCACCTTCGTAGCTTTCAACGGTCACTAACTGGATGCTTGTCAGTTGTAAGGACATTGTCTCAAAGCAACATGCAGCTTGCAAAGTAACACCCAAAGCTTCAGGTGGTTCTGAAGTTTTTATTTCCACAAATGTCATAACACAAAATAATAAGACACTGGTTTCTTTTACCAGATAGATAACTGGTTGGGGAAAATATATTCATCAAAAGGAAAAAAACAATCACTCCGCCCATTAAAATGCTCGTGCAAGCCCTTTACAGAACATTTCTTTTTTTTTTTTTACAGAGGACATAGTAAAAAATACATCATTTTTCATAGAAAAAAAAGCAAATATACAAAAACTGCAGGCTTGTGCTGCCTGCAGATATGATCTATGCAGATCTATATATGCCTTAAAAGAGATAAATTTTAACGCAGGGGGGAATTCTTTCCCTCTGTCGAGTTGTTATGTATCTGGTGGCACCCACAAATATATTTTCGATAAACATGAAAATGCCCGTATTTTATTCATCTCCTGTTACTTCGTCTCTCATAGATGTTGCTTATGATGTGTAAATCATCTCTCTCTGATTTATTGAGCCATTTCATGAAATACACATACACACATTTTGGAAAAATTCCAAACAACTGGCCCGAATCATCGGATTCCACTGGATGTTTCTAAACCCATGAATCTAGGAAAAAAATCAAGACTCACACCTCTGTTGGCTTGCGTGAATTCACACATTAGAGGCCAATCTGGATGGATGACAAATCTGAGCAATCTGATCTCTTTGCCTCCATTTCAAAATTGTTCTCCAGAAGTAGAGGAATCTTGTTTGGAAATGGAAACCTAACTATGTTCTTAAGCATCTTTGATAACCAACATAGCTCAAAGGTGAGCTACCCCTTAGTAACTGGAGATTACCTTGCATTTGTGATCTTTCTTGGGTATCTGAGGGGTGATTTCATTTCCTGACACTTTGCCAAAATTCTCAGGATCATAAAGAGAAGATCTTAATGTAGCATTTAGACTTGTATACCACTTCTTAGCCCTCTCTAAGCAGTTGACAGAGTCAGCATGTTGCCCCCAACAATCTGGGTCCTCATTTTACCAAATGATAGAAGGCTGAGTCAACCTTGAGCAGGTCAGGATTGAACTGCTGACAGTGTGAGCAGATTTAGCCTGCAATACTGCATTTTAACCACTGCGCCACCAGGGCTCTTGGTAGAACAATATGCATACACTAATTCTCCTCTTTCACCCCTGATAAATAAGATTAAATAGAGAATGGACCATCCCAGCCAATCACTCATCTCAGTAGGAGTCCTACTTGTGACTATGGCTGATTCCCCCCACCCCTCCGGACACAATGGTTAAAAAAAAAATCCAAAAAAATCAAATAAGGGCAAATAAACTAGTTCCTCCTGGGTGAATTTGTGAGCAGATGTAAACTCAAAAACATCTTCCTATTCTTATTTAGCACCACCTTAGCACCATAGTTGGCAAGAAACCCTTTGGGTTTCAAAAGTCAAAATCCAGCCCACTTGCAGGAATCGTTGAAACGTGCTTTATTTGGAGGGTGTTGTGGGTGTTTTAACAGAGCCACGGGCCTCTAAAATGAAGAACTTTAAATAAATAGAAATGGCACATTGAATTTAACATTTGTCCTTTCGTATGGTGGGATCCGAGTTCAGTTTTCGAAGGCCAACATTGTGTCAGATTGACAAAAGCACTTCTTTGGTTTCCAATTAAGATTGAGCTCAAGGTTTTAGAGCAAGGTCAAGTCCTTAGCAAATCTAAGCCTTCAAATGTTTGGATTGAAAGAGGACAACTTCAGAACGATTTCCTTAGGAGAACATTTGAGAGTTGGGTATGATCTATAGGAATCCTACTGAATATCAGAAAACAGAAATTGTTCTAACAGGACTTCATAATATACATGTTGTGACCAACTTACTATATCAGGCTTCCCATCTATACAAATAAACAAGTAAAGCAAAACCTTTTCGATTTCAGCAAAATAAAGAACAACTTTTGGCAACCATTTGCTTAGCTAAGCTAAAACAGCTCTGCTGAATAAAATAAGTCGGATTCATTTGTAAATAAAACAATGCTAACTAACATGCAAGGAATCAGAATGTGCCAAGACAGAGGTCCCAATGATTTAATTTGGTGACAATAAACCCCATTTTCTCAACCTCCTGCAATTGTTTGGCCAGCAAACCTATTTATCCCCTTGAAGCTTTCTTTTGAGAGAAATAACAATCTTTCCATTCTTTTGAAAAGCAGATTCTTTTCTGGAAATGCAATACCTCCTTTCCCAGTCTCCATAAAAAGAAATCTATGTTATTTGTTTTGTGTGTTCTGAATCTTGCCTATTGCCCCACATCATTCAAGGCAGCACAAGGTGACTTGGATTTCAGGGATATTCTTGACTTTGACCCAATTTTTCAAACAATTTAGCCTTTGGGTTGATCGAAATGCTTTCTATGTTCTCATCCAAAGAGTACTGATCAGATAATCGTTCACCTCCTGGAAGCAGTATTTTGAGAGAACCCCAATGGTCTATACTTAGGGGCAAAATTGTTCATAGGATGGGTGAGGCAAGCCAGTTTTTCAACCATCTTCTCTCCTAAACTCGAACCATCTTCCTTCTTCTGAAGGTTCGAAACATTTGGAAGTAAAACAACAACAGACCGAAAATACAACAGTGAGCAGATGCTGTTGAGATGCAGAAAGTTCCAATTCCTGCTGCCATCTTTCTTTTTTTCTTTTCTCCAAAAGAAGATGAGTTTAGAGGGCTTCATCGTGGTCCAAGTTGGGGCAAACCTCTCTCACCCCAGGAGAAGCACCCAATGCTGCAGTCTCTTTCCACAAAGAGTCCCGCCGTCTTGGAAAAATTATTGCCTCACTGCAAAGATTCGGAAAGCTTTTCCTTCCCTGGGACTCTTTAAGCTGGCGAGGAAGGATTAAAACATAAGCTCCAGTGGAAACAGTGGCGATTAAGACATAAGCACAAAAGAAATATTTTAACAACTGGGCCTTGTCTGCTTTGGAGAACCTTTTCTGAGCTGCTCTCGGCAGGTGTGAACAAGATAGACAATGAGCACCTTATATGGACAGTTGATTCATATCTCTGTTTCTATTTTGGACTGCAAATTTGCACTCCCAGATCTCCAGATCTTCAGATCTCCAGACATTCATTAGAGATAAACAATCTCGTATGTTTAGGTCGTGTTTTTTTTTTCTTCTACTGGGCTGGAAATGTTTGCCTTACCTTTCAGATCGGATCCCGTTCCTCAAAGATCCATTGTAGACTTTCTTCTTATCAACCGGCATCACGTCTACGTAACCGCCGGAACTGTCTCCAATGACTCCTGCATGCACAGCAGCTTTGCAGATGCTGGAATTCTGAAACATGGCAGAAGAAGCCCCGTGACACCCAATCTCCTGTCACCTCTCCATAAATCTCCTCTTACCACTTTGCTATCACTTTACAGAAGAGCAGAAGAGCAGATTAAGAGGCTCAGGCCAGATCCAGACTTAAATCTACAAATGAGTCAGCACCAGCAGTGGTCCAGCTTCCCGTGAGACCAAACTGCAGATGGTTCCCAAGCACATTTTTAAACCATCTGGGGAGTGACGTGTCATCGTTAGAAAGAAAAATCAGAACACACTTGAGAAACCTCCAAGACCAGGGAGATTTGATTTTGTGTGTGTGTGTGTTTGTGTGTGTGTGTGTGTGTGTGTGTGTGTTTGTGTGTGTGCCTGTCTGTCATATTTATGATGGTTTTGTGTGTGTGTGTGTGTGCGCCTGTCTGTCATATTTATGATGGTTTTGTGTGTGTGTGTGTGTGTGTGTGTGGTCCGTATTGAAATTCCTCACAACATCATGATAAGAGAACACAACCCTCACTGATAGATTCCTGTCCCTCAATTCTTCAGGAAATAAAGGTGGTCCATGAGTTGCGACTACAACGGAGCCCAAAATTTCTGTTGCTAAGCGAGACATTCGTTGAGTGAGCTGTGCCCCATTTGGCGACTTTTCCTTGCCACGGTTCTCAAAGTGAATCCCTGCAGCCGTTAAGTGAGTCACACGGCTGTTAAGTGAATTTGGCCTCCCCCGTTGACTTTGCTTGTCAGAAGGTCACCAAAGGGGGGATCACGTGACTCCGGGGACACTGCAACCGTCGTAAATGCCAGTCAGTTGCCAAGCCTCCGAATGTAAATCACCTGACCACAGGGATGCTGCCACGGCCATAAGTGTGCAAAACGGTCGCGGGTGGCTTTTTTCCCCAGTGCCGTTGTAGCTTTGAACGGTCACTAAATGAACTGTTGTAAGTCGAGCACTAACAGAGGTGTGATAAAAATAGAACAATGTGATGGCTAAGAAATGGAATTTTGGAAATTTAGATTTACAAAGACCCAAGCGGGGGGGAAATGACTCAAAATTGCACATTCGATGCCTCGAAGCTGCCACTGCGACAGAGATCAGGGAATTTGCGCAAAGAAGCTAGAAATAGTTCATGGAGGCCTTTCTCCGGGCTTGCATATACATCATGGTCGAAGTTCTCCCTCACCTCCGCCCCCTCCCAAGCCATAAAAGGTCAATTCCCTGGGTCCCATTTTTCATCTCTGTCACTGCCTCCGTCTTGGCAGCTTTCTACGATTTCGCATGCCAGTTTGATTTGAGCCTTCTCTATATATGGTCAAGGAGAACAGAGTGAGCTTTTTACAGCAGCTGCGCTTCCAGTGTCTGCTAACCCTTCGTTCCGCAGCCGCAGAAACTGGCTGGAGAACAACTTCCCGTCCTTAAGGAACTCAGGCAGAGTTTCCATAACACCTCACCCTCCAAATTCTGTTCTAAATTGTTGATTTCCGGGATGCTCAGCTTGCTCAGATTTAACCGTCCTGTAGCCAACACATCTATTCCATTTATTTTACTTTATTTTATTTTTGCTTGCATTGTGCGCCTGGTTGCCGGCCCGTCTTCTTCTCTGCAGCAGAAATCTCTTATCGTGGTGAGCAATTTGTAAAGTTTTGAGAAGAAGGTAAAAGAAAAGCAGAACTCGCTCATTCCATTACCGGAATTGGGTATGTCTAGATTAATGAAAAGAAGGACTCTGGGTGACATGATCAGTGTCCCAATATCTAAGGGGCTGCCACAAAGAAGAGGGGGGTCCACCTATTCTCCAAAGCACCTCAAGGCAAGACAAGAAGCAATGAATGGAAGCTAATCCAGGAGAGAAGAAACCTGGAACTAAGGAGAAACTTCCTGACAGGGAGAACAAAAAAAAAGGGATTATTTTATCCCGGCTATAAAGAACTTTAAGAAAGTGGGTCAGTATTTATATGATAGCCCTGTATTCCACGAGAAACCAGGCTGAAATACCAAGGATTTGTCTTTCCTTTTTAGATTTTTTTGTTTGTTTGTTTTATTCCTTGCCTGCCACCAGCTCTGTGCTGAATTGCTAAGAGCTATTTTGGACGCTCAGTGAAATTAGAGCACACAACGCTAATTTGTTGGCACTTTTCTACGACATTGATGGGAAGCAGGGACACCCAGCAGTGTGTGCCGGCTATTTTGCACATTTGTTCCATTGCAGGCATGGATGGATTGTGACTTTCATGCTTAGCCTTTCAAGAGGAACTCCTTAACCTCCTGCCTGGAAGGAGTTGGAGAAGACAATTGAAGAGGAAAGCCTTTCAGCTGCCTTGACTAACGGCCTTGTCCAATCTCAAGAGGTTCTCGAGAAGATGTGGTTTGGCTCTCCACTTTCTCTCCAAAGCCTTTTTTGATTCCTTGCTACCTTTTCCTTCTCTTCTTTCTTTACTTGTCATTATTTTATGATATTCCTCTTGTGATACCACCACTATACTCTCATGAACGCTTTAAGGGAAAGCAAGCAGAACATACTCAAACTAGATAAGGTCTGTTGTGGAATCTGAGTGTCATGTGTGGCCATATTAAAGAAGCCATACCATCTATCTGGAACTGAGCTCAGTTGCAAAAAATTTCAGCTCGGCCTTCAATCCTTTATATAAATATTTCTCAACCTTAGCAATTCTTAAGATGTGTGGACTTCAACTCCCAGGATTCCTCCAGCTGGAATTGGAAGTCCACCCATCTTGGTAAGGTTGAGACACACTCATTTATGAAAACCCCCACTCATCAAAAGAATGAGCCAGCACACTGTTTTTTGTCAAGTAAGAAGGAGAAAAGATTACTCACATCTGCATATATGTTTGTGCCATATACTGTAGCCCAGTGGTTTGGTTCATTTTTGCAGTAAGCTGGACAGTAAGACCTGAAAGATGAAAGATGGAGATGAAGAATGATTTGACTCACTGGTTTAGGAGTTACTACAAAATAATCCAGTAGGAAATGGAAAAAGAACTTTAACTACTGGTAGGAGCACTTAGTAGAAATGCAAAGTCCTACAGTGTCTCCATCAGCTTCATCCACTGGGAGTTCTGATTATGGTTGAGTTTTTTTGCAGATGTTTCATTACCCAACCTAGGTAGCTTCATCAGTACTGGTGCTAGTGCATCATCTAGTACTGATGATGTTATCTAGTTTAGGTGATAAAATGTCTGCAAGAAAACAACCAAGAGAACACCAAGGACCCCACATTTCACCTCCTCCTCCTCCTCCTCCTCTCCCCTCCTTCTGGCATTGATGATGTTATCTAGTTCAAGTAATGAAATGTCTGCAAGAAAGCAACCAAACTCAGAGAGGACCAAGGATCCCTGAGCTACAAATATTCTCTTCTGTTGGGATTCTGACTGGCCAACAGCATCTACTGAAGTCAAACTGTGGGAAGTTCTACCAAACAGCCATGATGTGTTCCTGCATGGACCTATCATAAGGCAGCACTTTCTCTTTTTTTTCAACTGCCCATAGCAGCAGCTGTTAGATAGGTTGGTTTTCCAACAGAAATTATTACTAGTCGTTTTAATGAGTCTCATCCAACAGAAATTCTGAGCAGCCCATCCCCTCAAATACACGTGACTAGAGTCCACCACTTACCTTGGGCAATGAGTGGTGGGTTTCTTGAATGGACACAGTTCCTCTACTGTGGTGTAACAATCCAAAGTCTGCACTGTGGAATTAAACACACAAGAGATATATGAACTTTGGGTTTTCTTTCTAACAGTGGTCAAAAGCCAAGAATATACAGGTTCCAAATTAGTAAAATTAAGAAAAAAAAAAAAGATACAATACACCAAACAAGATTTTGTAGGTTAGTGTTTATATTTCATAGAGATTCCTTCAGTATATTCAATGCGTTTTGTATATATTCATTCAAATATGTGTATAATGTATGGATGTCTTTATAAAAAATGAGCTATAATTTACACAAGGACAGTGCTAATCTTTACACAACCTTTTCTTACATCTTCTTTCCAGTACAGCTGTCGGTAAATGCATTCAAGTGTGCTAATGTCTTAGCTTGAGCTTGTATCGCATCACACAGCATTCAAGAAATAACTTGAGGTCTAAGTCAATTGATCTGTAACACTAGGCAACCTAGATACATTTCAAAACTGACCAAGTTCTCTGTTGTGGAAAATTAGAAATTAGAAAATTAAATTAAATCCTGCCATCTAAGATAGCTTAGAAGGCAGGGGAAGAATTAAGGGATTTTCAGGGAAGGCATTAACCAGTGGATCCTGTAAGGGTGCTGAGTATGGATACTATCTCCACTTCAAACAATTTTGCACTGCAGAGACATCTCAAGATGTTTCTTTTGCTTTTTCTTGAATCCTGGAGAGCTGCCAAAATAACAGGAAAGTGGGGGGGGGGGTTGTTTAAATCAAGAGCTGTTTGAAGTAGCCTCATTTGTCATATAAAGCTGCAGGGTTCCTCCTGGCTGAATTTAAGCCAACTCCAAACTTGATGGCTCTTGATGGCACAACTTCTGAAACGTCTTGCTTTTTATTCTAATGCCTCTGTTTGGACAAACAGAAGCCTGGCCCCAACACAAAAGGAAGCTGTGCTGTGTTTTGCCTGGATCATAACCATAACTGGGTGGAAAATCGTTGCATTTGGGGAATAACATCAACTATTTTTTTCTTTTCTGGGAGAGTTCTTGCTTGATATTTCGTGCTGTTCTTAGGACCTTCCTGGGCTTGTCAAAACAAACGTCTCAACAGTAGAAGGAAAAGAAGACAAACCAAGAGGAAGAGGTGGCTTGACTTCAAAATAAATTAATCCTTAAGCTGCCTGGTGTGTTGCTTTTATCACTACTAGCCTTTCCTAACATGTAATTATTTAGCGGATCGTTTGAATGTACAAAACCCTAGGCCTGCGTGGGAATGCCATGGAGGGATTCACTTCGGCAAAGGTTCCCATGAAGCTTTCTCTTAAACCAAAAATATTTTTCCATCTAGGGATGCGGAGGACTTTTTTGGATTACAGAAACTTCTCTCCCCCCCCCCCCGTTCCTTTCCCGATTTTCCCTTTCTTTTTTCATTAGAGGTGTGCAAAACGTCTTGAGATAAAGCTATCACAAAGCTCTTCCCAAAGCTACGTTTTCAAGAGGCAACTGGACTTCCTTCGTTTTTGTTGAAGGCTTTTCGCTTCTCGACTGAAGAAGCTTCTAGGATGAGAAGCGAAATGTCTCCAAGAAAAACAAGGAGAGTCCAGTTGCCTCTTGAAAAAGCACCTTTGGGACGACCTTAACCTGGATATCTGAGACTCTCCATGGACTGTTACAAGCTCAGAAAAGTCAGTACAAGAATTCTGAATGCAGGAAAATGGTCCATCCCAGAACCTGGTGACTCCATATGTATTGTTCCACATATGTGCTCAATCCTTTTGGCTGTCATGACTTCAGCATGGACTAAATTATTTCAGTGGCTATAAAGAAAAGGAGTGACTGGTTCTAATTTTATTTATTTCTTGTAGTTGAATATGTCAAGCAAGTCCCACTGAGAGGTAGCCAACTCAAGCAAAAACCTTACTCTTCTTCTACATATCCCTTCCTCTCGTTATCTTAACCCTTCTATTTTCTCTCTGTTTTCTTTTTCTCTCTCTTTCTCCCATTATCTTCTTACTTCTGTCTCCTCATTTGACTGATTAAATACTAGAACAAGATTTAATCCGTGGGGATTCTGGAGGAATTCACACTGATTTTTTCTTCTCAACGAAGATAAAACTTACCTGTAACCTTCAACACAGCAAAACCGTTGGAAGGCTTGTGTTTGCTGGCAAAGGAAAGGGAAAAAAAGGTATGAATTCAATGTTTAAGAGGGCATTCCAAAAATCCAGAATCTAGATAACATTACAAGAGATAGACTAACAATGTCCACCAATTAAGCAGGAATTCAACTCTTATAATTCATTGGCAAGCAGAACCAAAGATGCAGCAATATGGTGAGATATTTGATGTGGCTAGAATTGTTTTGCACATAGGAATCTTAATTACCTGAGTGTCCGAACGCCGTTTCTTAGAGACATTACAAAGAAGTCTGATCTTCCTTTCCTAGTAATATCTACTAAGCCTCCTCTATTATCTAATGCTCCAGAATGAATAGCTGCTCGACATATACTGGAAGCCTGTAAGGAAGAAAGAAACCACAATTGTACAAGGCTGTGTGCAAGCCATGATTTTAAAAAAAAAGTATAATGAAACAGTACCCATTTTTGGACATTTTAGGTGTGTATGTTTTCTAGCCATTGTGTAAAAGGCCTGTAATGTCACCCAAGGCGAAAGCTTGACACAACAAATAATCAAATGTAGAGGACATAAAGTTATGGATGATTTATCCAATGATATTCCCCAATTTTTGAGATACCCATACAGATCTTAGTAATGTACTGATGTTTTAGCTTTGTGACGGTAATTATAATTTTCAGTTATTTTTCCATAGCTTATAGGGTGGACTGGAAGGATTGTAAATGTTACATAGTTCTAAATGTTTGTTTCTTATCAGTCAATCACTAAAGCAAAGTTTTGGACTTTGAAAATCAATAACCCTGAAATATGTTTTTTGTTTTAAAAAAAACTTACACTTTCGTAGTTGGGGAATCCAAATACTTTTGCTTTACTGTTCAAGCAGCCAGCTGGACACAGATACCTAGCCAAAAAAAAGGAGTGGGGGGAATCATTAAGGAATTTTGGAAGCTGCCTTCTGAACTCATACTGTTGGTCAAGTGCAAACATTCTCCACCTGGTGCTTGCCAGATGTTATGGATCTTAGAGTCACTTCAAAGGCCAGACTGAGGAGGATATACTGGGGTAGATTTTATTAGCTCTTCCTTTAAGCGTTCTCAGCTAATATTTGAACTGGATTTGGTTCGTTAAACTGCACTGTAATTAAAAGCATTACGTAGAGGAAGGATGGATGATCCATCCGAGAGAGATAAACATCTGTCAGAGGAGAATGGTGGAAGATTGATGCCAAAATAAGGATGGGTATCCCAAAGGTACTTTTTTTCCAAAGGCAACTGAACTTCCTTTGTTTTTCCTTGAAGATGTTTCTCTTCTCATCCAAGAAGCTTCTTCAGTTCTGACTGAACGGTGGAGAATGGAAGGATTTATATTCCTTGCATTCACCTTCCTTCCATTCGCCACCATTCAGGCAGAACTGAAGAAGCTTCTTGGATGAGAAGAGAAACATCTTCAAGCAAAACAAAGAAAGTCCAATTGCCCTTGGGGAAAAAAGCACTTTTGGGATGACCATGACCTGGATGACTGAGAATCTCCATATACTGTACATAAGGATGGGTGTCTAGAATGGATAATGAATCATTTCTAGGTCCTTGGTGGGGAACTATCTGCTCTTTATATTCAGGAGTTGGAGCTTACATAAGAAAAGACTCAAATGGACCATTTCTACGTGATTATTGGATTTATAGGACATCTGAGGGAACGTTGTATTTGAAGACTGCCACAGGTCAAAGAGTAAAAAGAAAGAAAATAAATCTGTGGTACCTGTTGCATGTGGATCCTCGGCATGTATCCCTCATTTTGGTGTCGCACTTGATCACCTGGGCTAGAATAATGGGAAAATACACAATTGTGAGGAAAGTATTGTAAGAAAAGGAACTACCGCCAGCCCTTAAGTAGGATTATACAGAAAAAAAAAATCTGACTTGGGAAATATAAGGTCTTCCTTCCTTTGAAAGTTTCCAGGTTGGCATCAAATCCATCCAGATGAATTTCTGGAATCTTCTACATCATGCGCTACACTCGTAAACTGAGTTTATCTATTTATCTAGCCCATGTTTATCACCTCAGCAACTTTAAGATGGGTGTACGTCAGTTCCCAGAATTGGCTGGGGAATTCTGGGAGTTGAAGTCCACCCATCTTAAAGTTGCTGAATTTAAGGCACACTGATCTCTAAGGCATGCATTTTAACCCCAGAAATCCCCAAGCCAGCTTTTACCTAATAGCCCAATGCTTGCTGCATTTTCTCCTATTTAGCCAAGCAGCAAGTATTCCTGAATAATCTTCTGCAAACTCCCAAACGCTAGAAAATACAAATACTTTCTTACTCATGTAGGTCACCTCCGCGGGTTTCTTTTCCTTTGCAGGTTTTACAGATTTGGGCTGTATTCTGTCAGGAACCTTTTGTATCTCCACTTCATTTGCCCGATCCGTCTCAGGTTTTTCAACTACTTTTTCTTTGGTTAGAGAGTGAAAAAGAGCCACGCGTTACTGTACAAGGCCATTAGCAAAGAAGACAGATACTAGGAGTTGAGAATCGTTCTTGTTTTTTTCGTTCAAGGAGATTCACCCACTCCCCCCCCCCAAATTCATTTATAGTTGGAACCTGCTCACCCCAAATAAATGAGTGTGAAACCAAGGCATCCATGGGGGCAGAGAAGGGAGGAAAATGTATCAAAAAAAAGCCAAGATGGCACCGGGCTCATAAGGTTGCAACTGCCATCTTGAGTTTTTAGTCATCTATGGATGCCTTAGACCAGAGGTCCCCAACCCCTGGTCCGTGAACCAGTACCAGGCCACGGCATGCCAGCAACCGGTCCGCACATACAAGCAAAGCCCCGTCCATGGGATGCAGGCAGCACACAAAACCACGCACTCTCTGGTCCATGGAAAAACCTTTCCCCATGGAACCGGTCCCTGGTGCCCAAAAGGTTGGGGACCTCTGCCTTAGACAAATTGGGCAACGTACAGTTTGGGTTTTCAGGAAGAAGGACTCTAAAAACTGAATGGACCCACCCAAATTTATACTGGAGCAAATTGTTCCTATCTCAACAGCTTTCTTCCCTGTAAAAGAGGCTCTAGATCTTCTGCCTGCTTTCAGTGTGCTGCATTATTTCTCGGGAATTTCTCCTGAAGTTGCATTGGGCTTCCTTGATTGTTCGAAGAAGCAGAAAATGGCACTCCAGGTGTTTGCTTGCAGATATATATTTCTATCAATTTGCAATCAACTTAGATGCCCACATCCTACGTAGTCTGGAAAACTCCAGAAAAGGAGCTTCCTATTCTGTCCTCCTGTGACCATGAATACAAGCCAGAGGAGCTGCAAACTCTTGGACAAAAAAGCAAACCACGAAGATCGGGAACACTTTTCTTCATGGCAGTCTCCTTCAGGTAGTCCATCTATACAACTAGGTAGCTTAAGCAGGGATGTCCCCAGAATCCAACCATTTGTTCAGAATGACTCAGCCGGCATGGCACAAGGTACACACCCATGCAAGGTTGCAACCCATCTCAAAAAAGGCAGAGCTCGTCTCCCTGGGATGGGATACTCTGCCCCATTTGTGAAGAGGACAACTTTGAACAAAGCCAAGGTCAGCGTTTGCCCCATTGCTAGATCACATACCTTTATAACAGAGGTTAGCCCGGCATCCTCCTCCATAGCTTGGTGGGCATTCAGAACACGATCTGCCATTTTTATATGGGGCTTCTCCAATCCAGTTGCCTCTGAAAAGTCCACCCAGAATGTTCCTTGTTAACTTCTTTCATCCTGTGTTAGGCTCACAACATACAAAATCAACTCTGGGGACCGTTTCAGGCCTGGTGCCTGACTTGTTATGTTCTCAAGACCTCTAACCCATGAGAAAGTTAATGTTATCACTGTGGCTATGCTTTGGGAACATTCTGCCTCAAATGTATAGGTCGGGGGCATTCTAATGAGAACTTTGACAGATGAAAGCACCAAAGTTATGCCTCAGAACCAACCAGGCATCAGCCCTCACATGGGTTCCACAAAACCATTATTCAAGGCTGCCCATCTGAACGCTCAAAGGCCTTTTTCTGCCCACAATGTCTTCCAGCTGAGACCGATTCCCAGGTGTTTTTCAAGAGATGAATAAACATTAGCTCTTCTGTATGACTGAGAAACTTTGGCAGCATCTGGGAACATTAGCTTCACGTAGTACTTGCCACGTGCTAAATTCTCATCTTTAATGAGCAGAAGTCATCTGACACTTCATTTGTTTTTTCGAGTTTGAAAGGAACTTTGTCCCAGACCCATCAGGGACCTGTCTGTTGCCCAAACATCCCAACCAGGAAAGGCAACCATTTTGATTACAAACATTCAAATCACAGGGGTTAAGCAAAGCTTAAAATCCACTGAGATGAGGGGTGTCTTGTCCTATTGGAGTTTCTCCAATTGGTCCTGACGTTCCAATACTTTGGACACATTCCATGAACTAAGTTTTAAGGTTGGGGACACCCAACATGTGAAGCTCGGCTAAAATGGGGATGGGCAGTTTGTGGTGCAATCTGTCATGGGAACCTAATGTCTTAACACAGAGGCCCCCAACCTTTTGGGCAGCAGAGACCAGTTCCATGGAGAGAGGTGTTTCCGTAGACTGGACGGGAGTGGTTTTATGTGCTACTTGCATCCCACGGATGGGCCTTTGCTTGTTTGCACGGCCCATTTTCTGGCATGCCACAGACCAGTGTTGGGAACCACTGTCTTAACATGTCACATGATCAATCTTAAGCTACCACATCATGGTATCTTGGCTTGGGTTTGCATATTATGGAACACAACAGTTGTGTTGGGTCAATCAGTAAGAGGTCCAGGTTGACTCATCTGGCCACACTATAGACACAAAATCATTCGCGCCCTCAAGACATGGCTCTTCCAGCAAGCGGACCTGACCTAGGGTGGATTTTACATTGGGTTTTAAATATTCGGAAGACGCAACATTAAAATTCGGTTTAATTCGGTTTTAAGGGGGGGATTGTATATATGTTCTGGTTTTAAATATGTTGTGCGCCGCCCTGAGTCCCTGTCGGGAGAAGGGCGGCATATAAATNATAGGGGCTGTTCTCCTGCCCTCCCGTAGTCTTACTTGGGAGAATAGTTGCAGACCAAATACACTGCATTTTCCCACACTTCGCCCCATACGTCCATCCTCTTGCAGACATTAATAGCACAGCCAATTTTGTTGGTTGTAGCCCAGACCATCTGGAAAAAAACACACAGAGGAAATCAGTGTGCTTGTGCTAAAGCATATTTTCATAGCCCTAATCACCTGAGTGGCAAGTTTGTGGAGAGAAAAGCCATCAATTCGTAAGACTCCATTTCAGCTGCTATTGGCCTTACCTGTGTGTAATGTGTGCACATGGGTCCTGTACATCTGTCGGGACACCAAGGGCTGCATTCATGGGGATATGGGTAGGTATAATCTTTTACTTCATCGTACCAAGACTGGACATGGAAACCAGGAGAACGATGCCTAAAAAAAAATGGCAAGAGTGTAAGGAAAAAGACCATCAGCCAGTTAAGCCAGCTCTTTGCACAGGGTGCCTAGCCAGCTACAAACAAATATGTTTCTGTATAAATGAGCATTTATGTGTGTGTGTGTGTGTGTGTGTGTGCTTGCGCCCGCGCATGCACCCAGATGCATTATGTTTCAACATCAAGATGAATGTGGAAGATAGAAATGGACTGAAAACAGGTATTGAAACCAAGCCAAACATTCAGTTAAGACCTGCTGCCAGCCAATTCTTTCCATTAGGAACTAGCAAAGATACACAATTGCATAAAGAAGCATAATTTTTTTTCTCTGATTATAGTGGCAGGCTGAAATGTTCAACCAGGACTATGTCAAAACATCCCACTGGTCAAACATAGATACCATCCCAAGATTTGTAGGTTCTGGAGCCTGAAGTCTTACTTTCCCCAGTGAACAGCCAAATTCTGGCCGATGGATGGCAGGAGGCTGGCAGGTCCATGGTCCCAGATGCATTGGTGAGCCCAAGATTCGGCCGATCTCTCCAGTTCTTCATCCCATCTCTAAGGAAGACACCGGGAGAGAAACACGAGGTCAGCATATCTAAGGCCAACATCTCAGATGCGTGGACTTCAACTCCCAGAATTCTCCATGCTGGCTGGGGGATTTTTGAGAGTTGAAGTCCCCACATCTTAGAGTTCCCTGGGGAATTCTGGAAGTTGAAGTCCCCACATGTTAAAATTGCCAAGGTTGAGAAACATTGCTCCAACATATACATAAAATTAGTCATGAAACGTGCAACTCCATGTTTAGCAGGGTGTTAAATTTAAATCAAAGTTGTTGACTTGTTTCTTGGCAGACTTTGAACTGAACATGGCTTTTCTTATCCAGAGCATGCCATTGAGAGATGTTCTCGCACATTCTTTAAATTAGCTGAAATCCCGAATGGAAATAGCATCAAACCATGCCATCATTTTCTGCAAAAAGCAGTTCCTGGTTTTACAGCTTTCAAAGGAATGGAGAACCCCCACCACTTTGAAAAAGAAAGGACTTAAAACCTTCTGCATTCTGAAGCAGTAGGCTTGGATTTCTAAGCTCTACTAGATAGATATGAATGCACTTATTTTATTTATTCGTTAGTTGATGAGGCTCGTATTCTGCTCCAATTGCTGACAACTTTTATGAAGGAGGGATTATGAACCAGCCGCAGGAGAGTCTACATACAGTACAGCTGGTTTTTCAGCTAAATCTTTGGGAGCTCTTTCTATATTCTGTAGGATCTCCAGCAGAAGGAAAAGAAAACCACACACATGAGGTCAGGGAACCGAGCAAAGCCAAACACGAAGAACTAGCTAGGCGGGACAAGTAAATAGACACTAACCTGAAGAGTCTTTGGCTGTAGAGCAGAGCTGGAGAGGTCACAAATGCCAAGGAAAATACATTTTTTTTTTGGCCTCCACAGTCCTATCGACTTATCCAAAAAGCAGTGAAATTGTCCCTGCTCTTACAAAAGGTGGAACAAGCACTGCCCAGGAGGGAAATGGGTGCTGTCAGGGGATGTGAGAGTAGGGGTGGTTTGGAAATTCCTGTCCCACGAGATGGGCACGCCAACACAAGAACATTCACTTTTGCTCCCCTTTTCTCCCTATTATCAGAAGGCTGAGTGAGGAAGTTGCATCTTCCCGGACAATAACCCTACCTCATCAAGGTTTATGTCATAACTGATCAAAAAATAATCCAGGAATTCCCAACAATTAAGAACCGTCAACCCAATGTTAAGACGTATTAGACTGCAAAAAAAGAACAGTGTTGCTCTGAATTGGCTTTGAATACTGTAAGTATTGTATTGTAAAGCCAATTCAGAGTGACACCATTCTTTTTTTTGGCCTCACTGTGAATGAGCAAACTTGTTCCTTTTGTAAATAAATCTGAAAAGGGAGTGCTTTTGCCATAACAGTGAATGCTTCTAAACCCAACCCAGATTTGAACCCAGTTAGCAATAGCCAGAGCACTTAGACTTATATACCGCTTCACACTGCTTTACAGTCCTCTCTAAGCAGTTTACAGAGCCAGCATATTGTCCCCAACAATCTGGGTCCTCATTTTACCGACCTCGGAAGGATGGAAGGATGGGTCAACCTTGCCTAAATTCATTCAAGATCTTATAACCCAATGGCAGAAAACCAACTTCACTTCTTTGGCTCAGCCCTCAGATAGCTATAAAGTTCCTTGCTTAAGACTTTGAATTACTAGAATAATTGGATCCAATAGTTTGACTCAGAGCAAGCCATATATCAATGCAGGCGGGTATAATCAATCTTAGCTTTGTGGGATCCCTCCTTTATATTTAGAATGGGTCTGGTATCTTGTACAGGCAGAGAAAACGTTCTGTTCTTTCCTTACACACACACACACACACACACACACAGTGTTTGGTTGCAATCTCACACAGAATGGACATTTCGCTTTGCATGAAATCATCTTTAATTCATATTTATTGGCGTCTGGAGAAGTGGGCCTGCGTCAAAAGAATGTTCCATCAAAAGCCTTTGCGTGGTCACATAAACATGTGAAAATCTTTGTTTTTCTAAAACACACACACACACACACACACACACACACGTCTGAGAAAGGGTTCCTACATTCTTCTCTTGCTGACAAACCCAAAATGATAAATAGCAAATGACTGGGAATATTATTTTGAAGCTAGAAATGTTTGATCTCTCTCTCTCTCTCTCTCTCTCTCTCTCTCCCTCCCTTCCTCTCTTCTCTCTCTCTCTCTCCCTCCCTCTCTCTCTCCCTCCCCCCCCCTCTCTCTCTCGTCTGTAGATTTTTAACTTGCTATTTGTAAAGAAAGGAGCTCTTTTTATAGTAAGATGTTCTCCATAACTTTGCCATTTTTCCATTCCCAATTCGCACAAGGGAAGCATGAGACAGTGGGGTCAGCATCATCTCACAGGGTCCCCTGGTTAAATGGGCAAGGATGAAGAAATGAAAAATATAAATGTCTACTGTAGAAGCCGTGCTTCTCAACCTCAGCAACTTTAAGATGTGTGAACTTCAGCTCCCAGAATGCAATAAGGAATAAAATATAGACATCATGGTTCGTAAGCCTAGAAGGAGCCATTTTTGGACTGACACCCCCCCCTCGAACAGATGGTTCCTTTCTAGTCGAAATGACTCAAGAAACTACAATCTCAGCTGGCCTTAGGAAAGGCTTAGAAGGAAGATTTCTCGCTCTGGAATTTGCAATGAGTAAGTGTCCTCAAATGAAAGCAGAACAAGGTTAACCACTAGGCATTGTTGAAAGATGGAATGGCACACCGTGATTCACAAGCATCTGTTCTTGTGAATTCTCTACTTCTCACAGCTAGAAAGACCCAGAATACTGTATGGGGGTTCCAAAAGAATTACTACCCAGAAAGTTTCTGATCATGTAAGAGAATTGCATGTGTCTGTCTGTCTATCATCTGTCTGTCTATCTGTCATCTATAATCTTTTATATCTATATCTATCTGTCCTCTAGCATCTATATCTATCTGCTCTCTATCTGTGTGCTGTCTTTCTGTCTATTTTCTATCTATCTGATTTATTATACTCTTAGCTGTTGAGGTGTTCTGTTAGTTTACAATAAAATCAAACAAAACCCAAAGACATTAAAACCAATTAGAAAGAATGATTAGAAAGAATAAAAATCTATGATTAAGGCTTGGGTGCTCTCATCCCCAATTCACCCTGCTAACTTCCTCTGTGTTTGTTTGTTTCTGGTTCCGTCTGATTTTACCAAAATGCTGCACAGAATAACTGAATCACCGATTGGCTGTGGCTTTATGCCTGTTCAGGACTTCAACTCACCATGTATTCCATGTTGGATGCTGAAGGGTAGACTTCACCTCTCAATTTATTATGAAGCATTAGGATTTCATCTCGGTCATTTCTGGAAATTGATCTCTTGGCCCTTGAGTGTGGTTGCCCACCTTGGTATTGATTAAGGATGCTTTCCAAATGGGTGGCATTGGGCAAGAAGAAACACTGGATGCCATGAGTCAGGAAGAGGAAGAGAGATGGTGCTATGAGCCAAGGAATGGTAGGATTCTTAGCCATTTTCTGCTTGGCGGAAATGAGATGTGTGCAAACTCTTCCAAGGGAACACTTCTGCAGTATTCTATAGACCTATAATACAAGAAGAAAAATGGAATAATGTGATTATTTTGAATCCTATAATGAGCAAGCTTTTCAACCTATGGTGTTCCTTCAAGTTGTTTCCTGTTCTCTACTCATTGAAACAAAAAGCTTACATCAGGGGTCTTCAAACTTGGCAATTTTAAGCTAGCCCTGGCCGGCTGAGGAATTCTGGAGGTTGAAGTCCACAAGTCTTAAAGTTGCCAAGTTTGAAGACCCCTGTCTTAGAGTACTGTATCTCAGGAAAATTAGTCTGTAGCTCTATGTCTCTGGGCCAGTAAGACATGAGATAGTTAGAAGATTCATTCTTGAACAAATATGAAACATTGACCTGCATAATATATTTCACAGGCGAGAGGGAAAGAAATACTGTACAGAGCTTTCCAAACCACGGTAAATTACCCCAAATTGGATAAAAGTAGTTTTTCTTTGGTTAGCAACAAACCAACCCAATTTCAACAGGGACAGTTAAATTGATACAAAAGGGATTTATCTACATCGGGTAAAAAGGACTTTCTGATCAGTGATTTGGGGTAATGAAGAAAAAAGTTTGGGAAGCCTTGGTCTAAGAGTCCAGCCCAAAAGGAAGAGGACAAGTTAGGTCTACCCTCGGTTTAAGTTCTTGAATAATCTTAGTCTCGAACTTGCTGGTTTGCAAGCAGCCACCCATTGGAGAACGAGCTTGCTAAATACTAAGGTGTCCCCAGAATCCTGATTAATGGCACATTGGACCTTCCCAAATAGAAGTTAGAAGACGTCAACTATGAGCTGTAAGCTGGGTCTTCCTGGCAGCAAAGGAGAACAGAGGTCCTGCCAGCTCCCTGGAATCTCTGGCTGCACACACAAAACGTCACCAGAAATTTCAGAACTCGTGAGAGTCCCATCTGAACAGGGTGCGTCCCAGCTCTCTGCACAAGTTTATTTATAGGCTCCTTTGTTGAGGAAAAGAAAAGAAAAGAAATCCTTGCTTTCTGGGCTGAAGTGAAGTTGCAGCCTCTTTCCTCCTATCTTGTCCCTCCAGAAAGAGCAGAACAGTCTCCTAGCCCGTTCATGGTCCTCCAAATGTTTGACACTCCAATCCTCATCATGAAGGTGATGGGAATTGAGGCTCCATTTGTCCCCAGTGCAATGGGTGGAACTCATGGGAAATCAGTGGAGGTAGCACAGAAGTTCTAGCTCAAACAAGCATCTTCAAAGCATTCATCCTAGCTCTATTCTTGGTGAGAGCTCTACAGTTTTCAGCCCCGATTCATTCAGCATCCAAAACTGTCTCTGATTTCTCCAAAGCTTTTCTTCCTCTTCTTGAGAATGTTCCTGACATTAGACATTTTGGAGATGGCATTTCTGAGCTAATAATATTTTTGAGATGTGGTCTAGATTTCTGGTTGGGTTTGGTGTCAGACCCATCGCTCTTCAAGAATCAAGCACTAAGGACTCTACAATTCAACCCTGAGGTACCAGTATTTCCTCCTCTTGGTACCTTGATCATCATCATTCTGCAGCAGGTACAGGTGACACAAAGGTGCAGGGCTCCATTTTACATAGTCATGGCCCTCATCTTAGGTTTTTTGGGTTTTTTTTTACAAAGATTCCCTGCCTGCTTTCATTCCCCCCCCCCCCNCCCCCCCCCCCCGCCGCCATGAATGCCTCTGCAGCCTTTTCATGTCCTACTTGAAAAAGAGGTCTTGGGAATAATTGCATCCTCTTTTAATGAAAGCACAGTTAGTCACTTGGAACGTGGGTGTGGGGGAATATTTTCTAAATCAAGACATGATCAGTCAAGGAAGATGCAGGAGAATGCCAGGAGAATGCGGTCTGGAAGACCAGACACTCATATTCTCCTCTCAAGTGGCCACTTTCCAGTTAACATCAGAGACAAACTGCCATATAGCATTGATGTGCAGTTCATTGAACATTCTTGGTCCTCTGGGAAGAGGGGGCAATCACTGTATTTTCCATCAAGTTGAGTGAGATGTGTGAAAATAGTTGTGAAAGAGTTTGCAGCATAGTGTTAGTCTCTGTGTCAGTGTCCAAGATAGGAGAAAGAGCTACCAAGGATGATATAAACCACGTTTAACAGAGAAGGTCAACCAATGTATGATCTCATGGAAGGGACTTCCTTTAGAGCAGGGGTAGTCAACCTTGGCAACATTAAAAAGTGTGGACCTCAAGTCCCAGAATTCCCCAGCCAGTCAGGCTTTAGAGCAGAAGTGTCCAACCTTGGCCACTTTTAAGACTTGTGGACCTCAAGTCTCAGAATTCCCCAGCTAGCCATGATCGAGGTTAGACACCCCTGCTTTAGGGAAAGATGGCACTGTTCATGTTTATAAGAAATTTTCAGTTAGATTTTGGTGAAGACTCATAAATCATAGTGTGAAAGACACCCCAGCTTTTTTAATGAATCTTCTTGCTGTTTCCTGGTTTCCTGAACAGAGAATTCAACTTACTTCTACTGTGCAGCAATTAAATGTCCCCCCCCTACCCCCACTGGCTGAAGCTAGTTTTGTTTTAAATCCGAGCCTTTCCCAGCTGGCTGGCTATGATCAAGGCTGGCATTTTTGTACATTCAAAGCAAACATTAGCAAGAAACATTTCGTACTCAGCAACGTATTTAAAACAGCAGGAGTTTTTAAAAAAGAGGAAAAAAAAGAAAGTGGAATATTCCTCCCCCCCCCCCAACCCCACCTCCAAGCCTTTAAAACTCTTTAAAACTGGTTCCCTTCAAGGGCCTCCTGGCTTCTACACGTTGTGTGGCAACTTTCAGAGTCTTTCCCACTGATTGTCTCCAAAATCCAAACGCTAAAGATAAATTTAGGCAGTTGACATTTGAGCTTCCCCCAAATTATCCAGCCTAGTTCCTGGGGGCAAATACTGTCGTAACCTCTCTTTTTTTTAAGTTCTATTATTCCTCCCTCCCTCTCTCCCCCCCTCCCTAACTCCCCCTCTTTCTCTCTCTCTCTCTTTCTTGTTCTCTCCTCCTCTTGATCTGTTCACCCCTTCCCACCAGCTCAGCTCCCGCCCAGCAAGAGGCAAATTTGCTGTGGCTAACCTCAAGCCGCTCCGTTGGTAGACAGTCTGACCCACTTTGGGGAACAATTCTGACTTTCAGAGTTAAGGGGCTTATAAATAGGTGCTCTTCTGCCAGGCACCCACAAGGCTGCCTTGTAGGCCTAATCTGCTCGCAAAGGTCTGCTTTTACAGAGTTTACACACACATACACAATATATATCTGTATATGTATGAATACATAGATAAATGTATAAATTTATACTCTATAAATACACTTTATACACACACAAATGCAGAAATACACACACATATATATAAACATACACCATATATATGTGCATATATATATATATATATATATATATATATATATATATATATATATATATATATACACACACACACACACACATATATATAATGTTTAGCATACGTATGATTTTATGCACTATATATGTGTATGTGTTTTGTGTATGTGTGTGTATGTGTTTATGATATGTATCATATGTTTATGATATGTATGATTTTATGCACTATATATGTCTGTGTGTTTTGTGTATGTGTGTGTATACACAGTGCATAAAATCATACATATCATAAACATTATATATATATATATATATATATATATATATATATATATATATATGCATATATACATACACACGCAAACACTACATGCTCACATACACAAATATATATTCTCTCTCTCTCTCCCCCCTTTCTCTGTTTCTCTCTCTAGACACAAGCACACAGCACAAGTACACGTGCCTTTGGAAAACAAGTCCTTAACGACTTCTGAGAATCCCAAAGGGTCCAGAGCCCCCAGGGGCAGATCAGCTGTCTATCTGATGGAGCAAACCCCCAGCAGAGCTTCTTTTCTCTCTCTCTCTCTCTCTCTCTCTCTCTCTCTTTCCCAGTTCAGAGATGTTTCCCATCACTGATCCTATCCAATCTGGTGAACGAATGCAAGGACAGAAGAGAACGTCTTAACTCCCCACAATGCTTCAGGCTCAGGGTGATGATAATGGTATCCTGGCACCCTGACAGGGCAGCTGGATCAGCCTGCTGGAGATCTGCTAGGGAAAAATAGTTGAAATTCTTTGAAGAAGGAAACTTTCAAGAAATTGGAAGGCAAATTTTAATTCCTTTCCCTTCCCAGAGGCAGGATCAGTCCCTCTTTGGCATCAAACTCAGTTAAACCTCTCAGGAGGAGAAAAGGTCTCTGGCTGAGTTGAAATGCGCTTCCTTCCCACCTGGGGATGTCTGCCAGGTGGACCAATTTCAAGCAACCTTGAAATGGAAACTATTTCGTGTCAAAGCAGGAACACTCCAGAAGACCATTCACTCTCCATGGAGGAGCACTCAGTGACTGGCCATTTCCTGAGTGCGTAATTTACACAATGCACCAATGCCGGGCTGAGCAAGGGAGCCATTTGAGCTCAACTAATAAAAATCAGTGGAAGAGGAGTTGTAAACACTGGGGTCAGCCAGGATGCCTGCAAGCTTCATTCTCATCCAGGACCCTGTCACTGACAGTGGTCAAAACCAGATGTTTTGGCCACAAGATGATTTAAAGGAAAGGGTGAGATTACTTGCCAAGCAAAGGGTGCTTTGTCAGCCAGGCCCACATTCTTTGGCACAGCCAAGAGTCCAAAGGATCAGAGGATCAAACTAAGGTCACTCTGTGGACTTTTTCATTGTTAGAACCAAAGTATGGGATTCATTTTCCTAGCCTTTGATGCAGGCCAATTCACCGGTAGCTCCACTCCTTTCTTATGGTATGCTCAGTCTCCTAGATCTGTGTTTCTCAACTTTGACAACTTGAAGATAGGTGGACTTCAACTCCTGGAATTCTCCATCCACCAAAGTTGAAGTTGAAGAAGCTTGAAAAACGTGAAGATATGTGGACTTCAACTCCCAGAATTCTCCA